ACACCTCCACCATCACCACATTATTGTTATATGTTCACAAAATCATTTGAGGCTTTAAAAAGCTTTGTCCAAATTATTCAATAAATAACATTTGATGAGATTTAGACAAAAAAAGTTACACGAGAAAGATTGATTTCACCTTGTAAATTTGTTCCAACATTTATTCTCTTTTATCTTTAGAGTAGCCAAATAAAATGTCACTAGCTTTACTTAAAGAATTACAGGCCTTTCATTTGATACATGGATATCTAATTAATTAATTGGTAATGTTGTCACAACAGCATAGGTGCTAAGGAACTTGATATATATATATATACATGCTTGGATGGGATTTAATTTCGAAGGAAGCTTCGTGCTATGTTTTTTTTGATTTTGAGGTTCAGATTCTTTACTAATTAATATTCTTGAATAATTGGCTGTTGTTAATCCATGTTTATTTTTGGCTTTAGATATGGCTTATTCAGTTTTGCCTTTTGAAACCTAAAATCACTTGCTATAGCTCATTGTTAATCATCCTAATTTAGACTTAAACAAAGTTGCGCTAATCACATATAACTTGTAAAAAGTTTTTGAAATTTTAATGTCGAATTAGAGATCCTAGAGCTTTTCTCTCAAGACCATGATTATGATATCTCTCTCAAGACTTACTAAACATCAACTAATAAGGAAAACACAATAGAACAAAATCACTATGTTACATTTCAAAAGATCTCAGAAAAAAATTTAAAGAAACTAAATTTTTAGAAGATCTCAGGAAAAAAATACCTGTGCCTTTTGTTGAAGATCAACCCAAAAGTCCAACATCTTTTGCCGATCAAGGGCCAAATTGTTTCACTGATAAAACAAAAATATAAATATGAAGAAAACCCAAATTAAAAGAAAAAAACTCGATTTGAAGAATACAAGAAGAAGATAAAAAAAGAGAAAGAAAAAAAAATAGAAGATTTCAACCCACAATTTCAAATGATGAAGAAGCAGAACCTTCTTAGCTAGAAGAGGGGGGAGCGACTTTAGCTAAATGGAGAAGAAGAAGTAGACCCTATACCCTAAAAACGAAAATGAATAAGGTTTGAAAGGGATTGTGAGTAATTTATTTTAAAAGATGATGGGTAAAAATGTCCTTAAAGACATTGTAGAGTGTAATGTAATGTGATTGCATTAGTTTTGGACTGCAATCATATTACATCCATTGACTGCAATGTGATTACATTGCAATCTTACACTGCAGTTGCTTGTTACAAAATAAACACTGTAATGTAACTTAATTAGACACATTACAGGGAATATACTCTCACTTCCCTTATACCAAAATGCTACCTAAGATTAGAATCTTCATGAATGCAAAGATTGCTTACTCTAATCATTGTTGCCGTATACAACCCTAAACTAGTGCTTCACACTCAACTTGATTATTTGTGCATGGGAAATCTAGCTTAAAAGCTAAAGAGATAGGTTCTCTACTTGACTTTAAGAAGTTTAACTCTAAACTTGAAATCAATGAATTCCCATATTCGTTTGATGCTTCCAAGACACGAAGACCTTTTTCCTCTAAAGAGATGTGGCTTCTACTCAAATGAGAGACAATTACTTCAGAACTTTGCATCAAGGAGTTATTTTCTCTACTCGGTGGAATAAGAACTATTCCGACACCTCCTCCAAAACTATTTGAAGAACCATTAAAGTATAAACTCCACTCTCCTTTTTCTATAGTTACTGTAAATTCTTCTTCATGAAATTTAGCGGGAATGGCATTGGGGATAACTTCTTCAAACTGAGATGGAAAATACACTAACAAATCTGAAAGTGCTTGAGACTTGATAGCTTTTGGCTAAACAACTAATACATCAAATTCTCCCAATAAATGAAGCCACTTTGCTATTCTTCCAGATAGAGCTGGCTTAGAAAGTAAGAACCTGATAAGATCTGGCTTTGTCACAATTATGAGCTTGTGTGCCAAGAAATAGTGTCGAAGGTTTTAAGTTGCATACACTAAAGTAAAACAGTACTTTTCCATAGGTGGATAATTCAACTCACTTCCATGTAAGCATTTATTAAAGTAGTACGTAGGTTTTTCTTCGCCAACCATTTCCTGTACAAGTAAGGCACCAATTGAATATGAAGTAGAAGTCAATGCAACATCATTGGCTCTCCTTTGATAGGCATGATCATAGTTGCAGGAAAAGTAAGAATCTTTTTAATGTTGTCAAATGCTTGTTGTTGTGGTTTAACCCATATGAATGGAACACCTTTCTTAAGCAAGACTTAGAAAGGTACAATGATTCCTCCTTGAGTTGGAATGAATCTCCTAATACAAGATACTTTTCCCAATAAGCTTTTGAGTTGTTTTTGATTCACCGAAGATGGCATGGATTGAATAGCCTTTATTTTTGTAGGATCAACATCTATACCTTTTCTATGAACCACAAAACCCAAGAATTTCCCAACTATTATGCCAAATGCACACTTTAAAGGATTCATGCGGAGATTATATATTCTACACCATTCAAATACTCTTTTCAAGTCTTCAAAGTGATTAGAAGCATTCTTGGATTTTAGCACTGTATCATCCACATAATCTTCCATACAATTGTGCATCATGGCATGGAAGATAGCTGTCATGGCATGTTGATAGGTTGTACTTGCATTCTTTAATCTATATGGCATTACAGCTGAAAACTATTTTCTTTGCATCTTCTTGTGCCATCTTTATTTGATTGTATCCACTAAACCCATCCATGAAGGAAAACATCTCATGACTAGCTGTAGCATCCACTAAAGTATTAATATTAGGAAGAGAAAAATCATCTTTTAGGCATGCCTTTTTCAAATATCTAAAATCTACACACACCCAAATTGTTCTATTCTTCTTTTTCATAAGAACTACATTTGTTAGCCAAGTAAGATAATATATGGGTTTGATGAATCCAACCTTGAGGAGTTTGTTAATCTCCTCCTTTATCAAGCTTTCTATCTCATGATGGAATACATGAGCATGTTGCTTCACTGGTTTACTTTGTGGAAAAATGTGTAACTCGTGAGTAATGAGATTCTCATCCAATCCAAGCATCTGTTCATAAGTCCAAGCAAACACATCTTGGAATTTTCTCAACAACTTAATTAACACAACCTTTTGCTCACCAAAAAGACTTTTGTTTATGAAGAGTGGCTTAGTTGTCTTTCTTTCTTCTGTCATATTTATTTTTTCTAACTCATCACCTTAAAGCTTAGGTTGATCTGAGAGTTGTTCCTTCGTGGGTAATATTTCCAGTACTTTTTTCTTTTTTGCTTCCACTTGAAAACATGATGATGATGTATCCGGTGACTTCTAAAGGTTGGGATCAGGAGAAAATGTTTCCCTAGACCCCTCGTCCCATCATAAGCAATGCACAATTTTTCCATCTTCACGTGCATAGGAAGTTACCCCATTAGATGTCTTTTCTTCATTTACTTCTCTATATGTGAAAGTTTTTCCTTTTCTTCTCTTCCCACCTCACTTCTTCTTTTTGCCACTACTCTCTGCGCTATTCCCAACATATTCTTCCCATCGCAAAAATGGAACATTGACAGGTTTAGCAATAGTTGTTTCTCCATCTTCTGCTAAATCTTTAATGAAAGAAGCATTTGTATAACTCACCTCATGCCATTCAAATAGAGCTTAATGGCTGAAATGAAAATCTCTTTCCCCTTCCAATGTCTTTTAATACATTGATGGCGTGAGGAAGGAATGATATTATAGATGTGTAGAAATTTTCTTCCAATTAAAGCATGATAAGCCATATTTGCATCAATAACATGGAAACATGTTTGATCTTGAATCGGCCTCATCTTGAAGTTCACTATCACTTGCCCCAAAGTCATAATCTCCTTATTATCAAAAGAAGCGATGGTCATAGGACGACATAGATTCTTCAAATCTATGTTTACATATTTCAAAGTGGATAGAGGTATGAGATTCACAGAGGAACCATCATCAATGAATGTTTTTTTAATAGGATATCCATTGATAGTACTTTCCATATAGAGGGTTTTATTATGATAAGGAAGAGGTGTACACATGTCTACCTTTATAAACACAATAGCATTCTGATACGCACCAACCACCTTCCTCATAGGTCATCCTACTAGGTTACACTCCCATAATGTTCTACAGTTATTTGAACTAGTGATATAGTTGCTTCTTTCCTTCTTCTAAAAACCTAAGTTGGTTAAAGAAATGCCCGAAACTAGAAGTCTTTCTAAGTGAATTAGCAATCGAAGAAGTAACCATAGTAGCTTTATTTGTATCATTAAGTTGGTTGCTTAAAGAAGAAGGGTCATCATGGTGATCATGAATTATTGCACTTACTTGCCTTTGAGGATTTGGATGAATGGCAAAAGGGTTATTATAGACTCTGTTATTTCCAATCAATACCTCTCCTACTTGCACTCATTGATAGAACATTCTCCAAAGATTTCTACATTTAGAAAGTGGATGACTAATTGCTTGATGATAATCAAAATATCTTGGGTTATCTTTCTCCTCCGCTATTGGTGGTTGTGGAGTGTAAGGTAAGTTTATTTGTTTATCCCTGACCTATTCTTGGAAAAGAGCTCTCACTCTATCCAGAGGTACTGGGAATGGTAGAAAAAAGTCATTCTCTTCATCTGGCCTTTTCTTTGGGATATCTCTTTCAGGACGTAAATGTGTTCAAATTGGACCCTTTCTTTCTCTACCCCTTCATTGTATGGCATTCACCGTTGGGGTATTCTTTCTACCAAAATAAGTGAGTCCTTTTTGTCTAAGAATCATATTATTGGTTCTTCATACAGCTTCCACTAGTGTAGCAAAGGTTGAAAGAGTTAAATTCTCCAACTATAGCCTGTATTCATTAAACATCCCCTGAATGCACATTTTTA